AATAAGGGAGAGAAAAAAAAAAAAAAAAAAGAAAATAAGAAATAAGAAATAAGAAATATAAGGAAATCGCAATTCTAATACGATAATACGTTGCTAGTCGGAGAAAACAAAACTGTTGTTACTGTTGTTGTTAAAGATAATGGAAGTGTTACGTTGTTAAGAAAATGGCGCGAAACGTGCGTAGAGGGAACGGAGATTATTAGTTACTTCTTTGAAATAAATATAAAAAGAGGCTCGTTTACATTGATCGGAATTCAAATTGCGCGCCAATATTCGATCGAACTCGAGAAATATATCCGCAATAATAATCTTGAATCGATAATCAACCGATGACTTCGATATTCAGTTATACAAAATTCCTTTTCTTTTTTATTCTAGAACACAATTTTTCTCAATGTTAATAAAAGTATCTACTTGTTATTACGCTTGCACATTGATTCGAGTAAAAAAATATTGAATCAAAATTAAAAAATTTGAAATTGATATTTGTCGATATTCAGTTACAAGTACAAAATTCCTTTTCTTTTTTATTCTCGAACACAATTTTTCTCAATGTTAATAAAAGTATTTGTTTGTTATTACACTTACTAAAAAAATATTGAATCAAAATTAAAAAATTTGAAATTGATATTTGTCGATATTCAGTTACAAGTACAAAATTCCTTTTCTTTTTTATTCTCGAACACAATTTTTCTCAATGTTAATAAAAGTATTTATTTGTTATTACACTTACTAAAAAAATATTGAATCAAAATTAAAAAATTTGAAATTGATATTTGTCGATATTCAGTTATACAAAATTTCTTTTCTTTTTTATTCTCGAAGACAATTTTTCTCAATGTTAATAAAAGTATTTATTTGTTATTACACTTACTAAAAAAATATTGAATCAAAATTAAAAAATTTGAAATTGATATTTGTCGATATTCAGTTATACAAAATTTCTTTTCTTTTTTATTCTCGAAGACAATTTTTCTCAATGTTAATAAAAGTATTTATTTGTTATTACACTTACACATTGATTCGAGTAAAAAAATATTGATTCAAAATTAAAAAATTTGAAATTGAAATTAAAATTAAAAAATTGATTCAAAATTAAAAAATTTTGAAATTATTTGTCGATATTCAGTTATACAAAATTCCTTTTCTTTTTTATTCTCGAACACAATTTTTCTCAATGTTAATAAAAGTATCTACTTGTTATTACGCTTGCACATTGATTCGAGTAAAAAAATATTGAATCAAAATTAAAAAATTTGAAATTTAAAATACTCGAATAAATAAGAATTTCACGTTTGCTTGAATTCGTGCATTTCGATCGATCTAAACGAAGAGGCTTAATTTGTGAAGGAAGACGAGAAAGGAAGATAAATGCCGTGTCGATTATGCCGTAACTAAACGTATCCTCTTGTCCGCTACTTTCAAGCATATGAAAGAAAACGCGTATGCTTTTTACCCATATATTTCGGTCGACGCGAGATCTTCTTGAACGCTGTTTCCATCAACAAACACTGAGATTTCTTTCCACCGTGTGCGCACACGCGGTTCAACACCTCCTGTTATCCGATCATCCGCGAGATTTCGCACCAATTTCCGCGGAAACGCGTTGCAAAAGCTCGTTGATCCGCGCGCGTTTGTACCCCGTTTCATCCACTCGAGCGAGGATGAATTTCGCAATATATTCGAAATATTCGCATCGACACAACGAACAGATTTATCCCTCGATCGAGCCAACAAGTTCCTCCCTTTTCGAAGGGGTTCGAAAACGATCGATTCGAAGATCGATTTAATTCGAGCCGAGAGAGAGAAAAAAAAAACCAGTATTTAATTATATATAATTCGCGAGCTAAACTGGATCGACCATTCAAGCTTAAATTTTATATTGTTTAATTATATATTAAACAATAATATTAATTAATCACGAATCTCTTTGTCTCAGATGTTTTTAAAAGTTTGAAGAAAAATTAAGCTTGGATATAAAGTGAATTAGTTTGTCCACATGATATAGTGGAAAGAAA